TTATGCTTACAAGGTATCTTTTCAAGTAAACTATTAAGATATTTGTTAAGGCATCCCGAAACATCAACCCGTGATTGGACAATATTTTTTAATAAGGCCGTTGCTGTGGAAATTATCAAACGTTACATCGGAAAGGCAACGCCCGAGGGTTTCATTTCGGTTTTGCATATATTCATGCTACTGGAACCGATCTCAAGATATAGGTTAACAAAAAGGGAGAAGCAACATACATTTTTATTTTTCGTTGTGCCTTTTTGATTCCAAATAAACTGATATATACACCGATGGTGAATTTCATTAATGGAATGTTTGACTTATTTTAGCCAATAAAAATAGGGCCAAAAATAAGGCAGCCTTTCGTTAAGGACTTTTTTTAACCCATGTCCGAACGATCACATAGGAAACTTATTCTTATGGTTTTTTTATACAATTTATTTCTTATATGTTCATAGTGAGGGACAAATTACTTTGAAAATGTATGATCGATCAAAATAAATTTATTCATCCTTGCTGGGAATGATTAAACACTTTATATTTACAGGTCAACAACACAATGTCACAAGCCCAGAGTACAATACAAGACTATTAAAATACCGGGTCGCATTACACTTGTCTAGTACCATTCGTGAATCCGACATCGTAATGGACAAAAACTTGGCTGCAAGTTTGTTAGTTATAGATATAGAAAAGCAAATGACACCCAAGACTTTCGCCAGGTTTCAATTACTTGGAACATTCTTTTTAACTGGGTTCTTACATGTTTTTTTTGACTTGGGTTCTGTTTTGTTGCAACTTTGTGGGCTAGCCTTTCTCCAGTCCAATGGTTAAGGAGTCAAAGGAGAAATTGTTTTGTCGCTGGTCAGTTGAACGAGCAATCCGCCCACAACCAAACAGTATTGACGGCTAGAGGACTATTAACGATCCGGAAGACCATTTCCGAAACGGCGCAATTTCTCTATATCAATACTTTAGGTGGGCCACCTCTTGCGTTCCTTTGATTTTGATATTACGTCGTCCTGTTGAACAATGCTATACGGCTTTTGCTTTTAGGAGAGCACTTGGGCCATACTGCCAGTTCGTCAACTCGACGCACTAGTCACCATACTGTTTTTTACCACGCCGCACCTATGCGGTCGTCTTGCATTAGCAGATATCGATTCAAAAGGTTCCGTAAAATGTTCTGTATATATCGGTGAAGTACAAAAAGGTAATGAAACTCAAATTTTCAGTATCTCGTGCGAAGCTGCCCACATAGAAGTATGCGCCAATGAGTTAAAGGTTCTAAAGTGATTTCTCACATTTTTCTAAAAATGCTAAACATGCTCGTCTGCATAGTTGACAGTGGCCCAGTTTTTGTTCATTACTTTTGGAATTACATAGTTAAATCATCAAATTTTATACAAAAAGACGCTTACCCTTAAGATTACGTATCTCAGAATCTAAAAAACCTGCAGTCAATGTAGATACTAGTGCAAGTATATTATAAGAACATGAGATAAAAAATATTGTTTGCTTTGTTTCTGACCACTCCTACTTTGTCGATACATAGGAATCCCTTTCCAACTGCGTTTTTATAATTACAACGTACGTATATTCATGCATATATCTACGTCCTACCAGATCTCACACCAAACTATTATTATTATAACGTATTAATTACTCTAGGTGAATTAAACGTCATATTGACTGTTTTCTTTTTTGCTACATGATTCGCCCAATAATGATCCATGATGAAACATATACCTTATTTTTATAGTTTCATTGAATATAGATTATAGATATTTACGCTAAAATTCATTGGATAGTAGTGCATCAACGGATTCAATGACAGAAAAGTAGAGATGTGTGAAGGAGGAGAATTGGTGGTAATCGCAGTCCATGTGATGATGCCTCGCTTCTAAATATTTGAAACAGTCTTCACTGCTGATTAGCTGAGAACCAGCCGAGTGTGAAGTGAAACGCGCTTTTTTTTTGAGAACAATTTATTATCGCAACGACATCTGCCTAGGTGAAAGCAGTTTGTTCTATGCAATATCATTTGGTATTCTAGTAAAAAAAAAAAAAACCGAACCTCCAGTACTCAAAAATTACACTTAAAAATATATTGAGTGTAGGTATGATATATGGACAACGGGGAGCATTGAAGACTTTATTCGGCTGCTCGGACCTACTAAGACGTTTCGTTTCTAGTTTAAGGACACACTACGAAGAAGCCAAACGTTGGCCTTCAAAAGAGTTCACTGAAAGGCGGCGGCGCTTTTAGGATAAAACGAGCATGTTATTGCAGTCCTGGCCGCCTTCCTACTGATTCTCGTTGCGAAAATCTAGAGTACACCGACAGTTTGTCGACAGCCGCTAAATCATGGTCGTCCAAGAAAACCAGACATCTCTATCTGCAAGATTAACAATTACGGGATACAAACTAGAAGCGTCGATAACAACACACACACTTTGTTTGTCTGTTCCTCCAAGTTTGTTTCCGTGAACCGTGTTTCCTTCTTTCAGGAAAAAGTCATACTTTTCAAATATTGCTATGCTTATGTGTGACAAAATCCTCGGAATCACCTCTCAGGTGCAGTTTCAAGGATTTCACTTACTAGAAAATATAACCATATGTTATAATGACCTTTATTTATCAGCGTTCGAACGACGTTTGCGGTTACTATGGCAACGCGCTCAAAGAAACGTACATGAGGCACCCGGGCCACGCTGCTCATGGACTTTATGCGATGTGCTGCTTGACCTAACGAAGTGTTGCAATAGCGCTTTCTTGGTTGTAGTCATTTATAGGCTGACGAACACTTAAAATAACGTGTATGTGTACAATTTCAACATTCACAAGTTGTATTTCCATTCAGTATAAGGATCCCGTGTGCCAGAGATTTATTCAGATTGAACGTGCGTGCACTCCTTAGCTGACGTTGGAAGTATAACTCGCGTTGTTTGATGTACAGTAAGGTCTTTAAACCAACGAATTATGGAAACACCGGAACTTCCGTAAAATATGTTTACCACTACAATGAATACTCAGCTATCTGGGAAGTTGTAAAGTTTCTGTTTATTGCTTCGTTTTTTATATTTTCTTTGACAACGAGTGAGCGTCATGTCCTCAGAAGCTCTTTCGTCATTGTTTCGCTCGGAGCACGAAATTTTACCTCGAGTCGTGATTCTAAAGACGGAAAAGTAGTGAATTCGCAACACGGAGTTCCCACCAATATCAAAACGCTTTGAAACAACCTTGGAAATATCTTCCATGTACGGAGTGAAGGCTATAGAAAGCTGTCGCCGTTATTTTTTGAACAACCTAATGTCCGTAATTGATGAAACTGCCTGTGGCAAGGTGAAAACTAATTTTCAACATACAGGCAGTTTTTATGTTAATAAAAGCAACTGCTCAATAAGCGCATAATGTGAACTTTTTTTAACGAAAGAGTTCCTGCTGGAGATTATAAATCCGCTGCAGGCACTGCGAAGATTAAACGATATAAAAGAAGCTTGAGAATTTATCAAAAAGTCTGTGGGTTTAAGGTTTTCATAAAACTTTATTGCCAACGTAGGCGAGTATTCAAGCTAGGTCTTCGTCCATTACCTCGTATATTACAGCTGTTCCAAACTACAGAGACTAATACAGGCATGCAGCTTGCAATATTGCAGGCAATGTTTCATCTTTAATCAGGGTGTTTTGGCTTTTTGGAGCAATACAAGACCTGCTCTGGTCATTATTTTACAGCAGAACCCTTGAGCGGTTCCTACCGTAACTGAATTGATACATTTCGTTTTTTCAATTAAACGTTAAGCCTGTAGCATCAATGTGTTTATATTTTGTACTACATAAACGTATCAGCAGAAGTACCTTCAGTTACCTACTATTTAACGACTAAGGAGATAAATCACGTCTAATAGTGATGGGTCAAATGTTTCCCCAGTTGCCGGTTGACATACGTAGTACGCAAGCTCATCTACCTCTTAAACGGGCCATAAAAAAGTCAGTACCCTTTCGTCTGCTTTACCTGAGTTGTGTTCATGACATGAGCAACAGGGAAAGATAAGATGGAAGCGGAATCGAATAAAACTTTTTAAGTTGATAGGGATGGGGCGTTACTGCTTATAGGCGGATATTGTGGGTTCTTTAGGTAGAAAAACTGGGCAATTGAAGGCTGCTGTGAGTGAAAACCGGATTATTTGAAATTGTCTCGTAAACGTTTACGATGGCTGGAGTTATTCTGAGACTATTATATGGCGGAGATTTGTATGGCAGGCGTGTAGTGATGCAAACAACAAACCTCTGTAGTGGCCTGGTGAACACCCGAGTCGCCTCGCCACACAGCGATAGCGAAGCAGCAAAAGGGGCAAGACGACAGGGAGAATATGGTTCTAAGAGCGGTGGTATTGGATAGCAAGAAGTGACAATACGCTAGAGTGGTAATTCGGTAATAGACGCTGCGCTATAAGTAATAGACGCTAATACTTCGCTTGGCTGAATAAAGAGGCCAGAGGTCACGCAAAGCGAAGTTAAGCTACGGTCGACCAGTAATCTAGTGACAGAAACTGCAGCAGCAGCTGTTATGAAAACAACAGTCTAGACGTTGTCCCTCTGAGACGGGTGGTCTGTTCTCTGTTCTAAAAAGCGGATATTGTTGAATTCTTTGAGGTTGAATCAATTTATTGTTTTAAGGTAATTAATGGTATTTCACAGGGATCCATATTCCACATGTGGTTCACCAATCCGTGAAATAAAATTAAAGCATTTCGACGTATTTAAAATATAATTTACATAAATGAAAAACTAAAAAATAGAAGGTTTATGCAGTACGCTTCGGCACAGCACGGTTACCTACAAGGTTTGAAAGATCTTTCGAACCTTGAATGCTTTCTGTAACGGTAGTTCATGACAATGTGTGTGTGATGATATGTGTCACACAAAAATAACATGCCTAACCTTAATGAAGTAAATGGTCCACCACGTATGTTATAATGTTGCACCTCCTTTACAATTGCAGATCGCAGAATGGATCGAAGAGACCCCGTTGGGTTTAACTCCGGAAATGGAAGAACTCCACAGCATCCTCTCCAAGCCGTACCTCAGAGTGAGTTGTCTCGTAAGGTGCAGTAAGCATATTTCTGTAGATAAATGATAGCATAAATGGTTTACGAAATGCTAAATGTGAACATAGTGTTTTCGATCGACCGCGGTCGCTCTGAAAACAGCTGATCTAAGAACGATATACTGATAACGTCATTGATGACTATTATAGTGTTGCTTTGCTGATAATTGTATTAACTGCAAGGATTGCAAGTAAGTTATAGAGAAGCTTGTCTCGTGCTTCCCGTAGATCAGCTCTACATAACGAGTTTAGTCCTTTCGGATCGTTGAAGTCTGTCTTTACAGTCAGAGTATAAATTAAGACCACAGTTTAAAACAAATTGGTTTAATTCCTTATGTAGCTCATTTGACTAACTCTTAAAAGCTTCACCAGTATATTAAACCTCAATTCATGGGACGTTTGCTTTCTAATGATTCTTAATCCATTTCTGATATAAAATTTATCGAGAACGTATGCAAAAAAAATCCATACAAAAAAAGTTTGTATATTTCGGTAGCTTATATTTGATTTGTTACTGCTACTCGTACGAATCCTGTACCTAAACAATTTTTAACAACAGATAAAATTAAAATGGATTGATGTAAGAAGCAGTTTAGGTTGGTTTGTCGTTCCTCTGTCCCATAAAAAATTTGATGCACCACTTAACAGGGAATGCGTAAATATATTTTTTCTTGCTCTTAAAAGCAGTGTAATTATGAAAAGCAAAGCTAAAAAAATCGATATAGGCGTAGATACTAACTAAGGTACCTAAGTTGTATAAAAAAATAGTGAGGTAGTTATATAAATATTTATAGTATTTATTTGTGCCTTTCTCATTTGTACATCGTTGCTTACGTGTGTCTTTCTTACATTGCGAAGCTGTATACAGGAACGAAGGACACTGTCTAAAAGAAGATAATATGGAAAGTTCTATATCAGATAACTGCATTTGTTAAAACTAAAAAACAACTAATGAATAAACAGTAGTGATGCATTAGAGTAACCTTTGATGCCTGAGCCGCGGTAGGCTGCGTTCGCCCTCAAGACGCGAACAGACTCACCCAGATTCTTTACCTAATGTTCTCTCTGCAGCTGAGGCATGTTTATATTTTAATTAAACAGCAGATTACGGTACATGATTTCCTTATATGAGCAGCATTTTACTTAACTAAGTTGGGCTTCAACATGCGAACCCGGAACAGCTTGGGACGGCTTATGTTAACAGCTAATAATAGACACAAACATTTTATTTAAATTTGATCTCATTCCTAGCTACATATATAACAATAATCATATCACCATGCGTCGAAGTGGGCGCAGTGCTTAGACTATGAAGTGAACGAGACAAATAGTGAGTACTTTTTAGAAGCCTGGAAGAGTATACGTTTTGTTTGTACCACGATAAGTGCTACTGCTCGTGCCTTTGCGCACTTTTTGCTGGACGCTTTGTAGTGTTGCACTCTATTGTCTGGATCGTTCCCCAAGGACTTTGTCTACTTTTTCAAAAAATGGAATAAAGGCATCATAGTCGCCCGCTATTCTGACGTCTTCACTACATTCCCTTTGTGCGCTACTTTCCCTCTACACCAATCGTGGACCCGCCGTTTTCCATAATATTCGACTAGTTGTAAACCGAATACGTGGCTCGACGGTGGAAACTACACCGCACATCCAAATGGAGTCCCACTGCCCGTCTATGTGCAGGGACTGACACTAGGTCTTCGGATATTTCCTGACATTTCTTAACATACCCTTTAAGGACGTCCGAAAGTGTTCGAAATGACTGTGTAGACAATGTGGCTCTCCAAAAGCCAACAGTTACCTTTGTATACTCGGAAGGTTAATCACAAATTTGATTTAAAGATTTAGTAACGTAGCTTTAGCACTAAACAGACAATAAATCCGTATAGGTGTAACTTATTTCTACATAAGATACGTTTATCCCTTCTTCTAAAATTTTATGAGGCACTGTATTAGATTGTAACATAAACAGCTAATACTTAGCAAAAATTCTCAAGTTCTTTCCGAAGTAATTTGCTATGTCTTGACGCCACTTTCTACGAACGTCTACTATCTCTCAACCAATTTATTCCGTTGGGCCAAAAATATGCAGGTCTGGTGTGAGAGAAATACCCTAGCTAGTATTTGAAGCCCTTAGTACGAATTATACTGGCCGGTAATCGGAAAAAGTGGTGATGCGTCGGCGCTGGGTCTTGTGAATACTGTGAGATGGCTTCAATTTGTCTATCAGCCTCGCTCACTAGATGCAACTGGGTTATATGGATCCTTGTTGACTTTATTGTTAAGCAGTTCCCAGTGTACATCCTTCCAGTCTCATTAGGCGCTGTTAGCCGTAAAGTCACGATGAAGTCTTTTTTTTTTAATGGTGATCCGGTCAACTTAAAGTTTAGAAATGTGTCCCAAACTACGTCATGTCAACAAGTGGAGACTACCTTCTGTCACTCGTAACAACTGTGCTCAAAAACTGTTTTTGTGGCTGCGTGTTTAGTATTGGCCGAAGAGAGAAGTCGTCTTCCTTTGTGTGCTTTACCCAATCTCAGGAATATTTTATTGAAATTATATGCCTAAAGGCAAATTGAAATCAAGTTACGTTTTATACAATTCACTGCCTTGAGTTATATTATTATTTTTTGCATTTTGAGATATGTGAAATCGGATGCTGTAAAATTTACAAATAAATTGAAAAAATTAAGTGTGTTCAGAATATATGTAAAGGCGTAGTAATTATGCACCCGCATATCGTTGTTATCAATGGTATGCCACATGCAGTTGTTTTTGAACAAAGTAGTTACGACTTTATCGCCATAAAGCTCCGTTAAGAAAAAGCAATATTATCGATATCTACACATATGGCAAATAATAATCATCGTAACTCGAAATTTACGATAGATGATTACTTGTACTGCAGCCATACATAACAACGATAGTTGTCGAGGCTTCAGTCCAGTTAAGTTAGTTTTGAAAAAGTGCTAAGCCACTCAAAACCCTGTTTCATACAGACATATTGTTCTTCCTGCAGACATATTGTAGGAAAATTATTATCTGTCGAACTTTGTAATAAATTATTATAGAGCGTTGGATTCTCCACCCCCTAAACACAGCCCTTTTTAAGAAGAAAAGCATTTTCTCATTAGTTTTGTTAAACGACTGATTTCTTTGCGCGAAATCATTAGGGGCCCATATAGCCCCATCCGTGACGCTATACATACATACACAGATACACCTGTTTGAGCTATATAGCCTAATGGCATAAGCGTTTTTTATTGATATTTTCTCAAAAACTTAAAAAGAAAGCCATTTAGCCTTATAATAGAAGAGTCTTTAGCATTCTAATAGTATTTTTTGTTTTTCGCCTCACCAGCTGCCTTCAACGATAGCCTTAAGCAAATATTGATTGTGATAGATCCGTCCTCCCTATATCCCCCAGAGCCAAGATTCTATAGTTAAACTTAACAGTTCCCTTCAGGCGGTCCTCGCTGTACGCAGCATGGATATTTCGGGCCAGTGTGCAATAGATTTCGAACGAATGCGAAATAAAGAATCTGAGGCCAAAAGACGATTCACTGCGTTATTACAGCAGTTTTCTGAAGGAGGGATCACTCTTCGGTAGCATGTAGAAATAAAGAAGCATTAAATATAGAGAAAATGGAAAACGTTGAAAAACTGTCATTATTTATATTATGGCTGAACACTTTTATAGCTAAGAAGTCTGATGTATAGGTCGCAAGAATATCACAGATGGGGTTCCTGGGCGTCAGACGCAAACGTGTGAAATAACAACTACGCGGAACTCGAAAGAGCTGCCAGAAGTACATTTCAAAGCATTGCTGGTCTAGTTGCAGCTTTAAATAAATGTCACGCCTATTCAAAGGAAAATAAATGTTTGTTTGCTTTATTTACCAGCGGTAAATCAATTATATAGGGCTATAGCGTTTCGGATGTGGTCCTTCAGTGTACTGCGTACACGGACTCACATACACTCGGATATATATACTAAATTAACCTGTTCGAAGCGGCGCAACAGTCCAGCTTCGTGGACAATAATAGTTCGACCTAGTTCCCGTTACCAACGATATCTCTTACGAAAAAATACCATGGATAATTATGGCACAGTTTATAATACTCAGACATGGTAACATTATCACGAGTAGTGACTATATTGTAGATTCAGTAGCTGGCTTCGATGTATTTGAAAAGCGCATTTTATTCGTTGTAAAAATAAACTAATAAATAAGACCAAAAAAGTAGTAATAAGCCAAAGGTCAGGACGACAATTAATTCCCTTTGAAACGTCCTTTAAAATAAAAAAAAATATGGCCTTTCATAATATAATTGCTGGTGATAATTGCCGATATTGGACTTGAGCAGTAGCTAGTAACAAAGCAATACTATGCTGAATCCGACTTCATGTTCATTTTATTGATTATTAAAAGCTTTCAGCAATGATTAAAACTACAAAATGAATTGTACAAAGTCAGCTGGTAGTCAACATTGAAAGTTTAAATTTCCTAAGAAGTATCTTGAGGTTCTCTACTTTCTATGTTCAACAACACTATGGACGACCGATAGATCCTGTGCAGGCCTGATTCGATTTTCCTTTTGAGTTCTTTTAACTTTTCTCGGCGACATTACGTAGTTCCGTTCTTCTCACAACTAAAAACATCGAATAATCTCTCCACATTATTTTGGACTCTGTATTTGAGTGGCTGGTTGTACGGCCCCAATATCGTTCCCGTCGTACCAGGCTAACAATATGTATGTGTATGGTTTGTCGTTTTTGTCGAATTTGAAGAGAATCGCTAGTGGTTGAAGCCGTAATCTTCCTTGGGCGTTATGCTTCGCCTCCATGTGCTATCTACAATAGCTAGTTTACTGAGATAAGCTCGAGGCTGTTGATCCTAGCACATGGAAAGTTGTACCACTCTTAGATCTCTTCATGTTTCCTGTTGAAGCCTTCTTTAATTTTGTATCTTCGTTATTTT